ACCATTTAATATACTGCCAATGCCATTGTATAAATAATGCTTACAAGTATTAATGTATGAGTCATGAATAAAATGTTTGCTTAAATGCTACCTCCTGCACTCCTCGTGATAATCTCAAGGAAAGTTAACTTTGCAATTACTGTTCTGAACGTTCAGCATCTTTATTTCTCGCTGGAGCTAAAAATGATGAAGAACAACTTTCGAACTTCACTACCATATTTATTTATCTGTTTGTTTGTTTATTTAATTATTAGCAAAGCATCCGAAAGAGGTCAAGGACTGGATGAAAAGTCTTGACATAGACCCCTTGTTTTTTAAGAACCCTTGTTTTTAAGAAACATGGAAAAAGTAAGGACATCTACATACTTGGTGTATAAGGTCATCTAATTATGAAATAGCTGGTGGTCTGCACAAGAGACACACCAGAAATGGGTAGCATTTATTTAGTATGTACCTGAGAAGAAAGATTTTAGGACACAGTCTATGTCACTAATCCCCAACAGAAAAAGGCACTGACTGGAATTAGCTTTTACACATTGAAGAGGTGCGCTCTGTTGAGCCAGAGGCCTGAATTCCTCTACGGTACTATGCTCTGCCATATATCAACATGCAAGATAACTGAGTCCAAGAAGCCATACAGCCACAGTAGCATTGCCTCTTTGGCACGGTAAGTTAGTGAAATGCTCTGAGCTTCCATGGCCTGCCTGCTGCCAAGACCAGAGGTAACCTCAGTCTCTACGTGACACTGAATTGTGCTGTGAAGATGTACCCCTCCCTGTCGTACATCCGCTGACCGTAGTTGTTTCCATCAGTGGGGAGCTGAACTACTCTATTATCTCCAACCTAAAGAAATCCAGGGACTGATAAGGTTTGGCTTACAACTGAATTCCTGTTGGTATTTTTATAGATGACTTGAGTGAAAGAAGCTTTGACTAGGCTTTCAACAAATTGTCAGAAAAACCTACCACGCTGCCATAATTGCTTTTTAACTGTCTCCACTTTACTAGCATGTTGTTTTTTGGAAATGGAAATCCTGAGTAGGAGAAGGATGTCTGTAACAGACTTCAGCTGGAGGCAGCAAGGCTAACAAGGACATGAAATGCAATTCACAACTGTAATTACTGCCCCACGTCACTCAAGTCCCATGGGCATCCTATGAGCTTGATATCCCACACTTTACCTGCTAGCAGTTTTAAATTGGGCATACATGAAACACAGAAGAGAAAGTCTATGCACCTTTTAAAAGTCTTTTATCATTTTTTTCTGTGTTAGAATACCTCCAAGCATGGATGACCCCAACATAATGGAAGAACCATTAGGCTGCTGTAATTGGAATTGTAGATTCAGGCCTAACACTTTGGCGTAGCTTTCTGAGCAGATTCCTATTTGTGAGAAAACAGAAGCCTACATGAGAAAAATAGATTTTATGCTGAGAGTAGAAAACCTTATTAAATGACTTAAGTTTTCCAGAATGAGTTTCTTTAGATTTAGATCAATGGTAAACTAGTCCCCAAACTATATGCTTTTATATATAAGCTTCAGCAATAGAAGTCATAACAATTTTAAACTGTAAAAACCCCACTATTAAACTGTGGTATTTTCTGGCCACAAAAAGTTAGATAAGGGAAAAATCAGGTCGTATATCTATAAAAGTCAGCTGGGAGAAGCATGGGAGAAGGTTCGAATTTGCTAGCTGTCTAGCTAAACAGCACTTGTATATAAAGGGTACTATTAAGAGAAAGGAAATAATTTCTGTCAAGAGGTTTTGTATACTTCACCACTCACTGGGATAATGGCTCCTTTATTAGAAAACAACAACCAGACAAGAATACAATGGAAAAGGAAATAAAATTTTGATCTACAAACCTGAGAAGTTGCTATAGTACTGGAGGAGAGTGGATGTCAGCAAAAGCTCAAATGACCAAACTATTTCTGAATTCAGCCACTTGAATCTGAATTCAGCCACTTGCATCCATTAACTTCTGTGGCTTAGAGATGAAAGATTATCAACTGTTGAGTATTGCACAATGCCTAAATGTTCTACATAATGTCATGGAAGGATAATGACCCCTTATTTGTACAATCATAGCTGCCATTTCAGAGCCCACAGTGATACTCCCAGTCAGCCATCCACTGACTGTTCTTCATGCATCTATACTTAACTAAAAGCACTTTTCTGGATCAAATCCTACATTTCTGCCAAAAACCCCGGGGAGGATAAAAAGCTGTAGAAAGGGTATAGGACAAAAAGTGAGCGTATGGAGTAAGGGGATCCTCTTATTTTACCTCATCAGTAACGTACAACGTTCCTTTTTCCTGCCCTGAGAGGCTGGCCTGTTGCCACTTTATTCTCAGCTTAACCACATAAAAAGCATCATAGTCATGTACTTGAAAAGTGTTTGATTGATGTCTGTTATTTCTAAAAGTATACCTTAAAAATAGTGGTCATTAGTCTTCGTAATAAAGGAAAAAAATATAATTAAACTTATGAAAACAGAGTACTGTTAAACATGTTAGGAAAAGAAACAAAGGCTGTACGGTAACAGAAAAGCAATCATTATACTGAACAGAGATTAAAATACAACAAATCCATAAAGGTCTGTAAAAAAGCTGTTGTAGGCTCAGGATATAAATCTTATGTCTTAAATTGTTCCTTTCCATTTTTTATTCTGAATAAAAATCTCCGCTGGTCTCAAATATGCCAGATTTAGTTTTGTCTGCCTGACATCCTTCCCTAGCAAGGTTGATCCTCTCAATACCTGACATACCTTTACAAATGCTCACAGGCTAGCCATCAGCATAGATTTCTGAGCTTTGCTGCACTCTAGCTTGATTCCAGCTGCTGTGTTGTTTAATACCCATTCCTCTGCTTCATTTTTCTGCCTTTTCCCCCCCCCCCCCCTCCTCTTCCTTTTTCCTCCTTTCCCCCCCCCCCCCCCATTTTTCTTTTAGTTTGGAAGCTAATCTACAGATTGGGATCTCCTTGCTATAACCACAGCGCAACTCCACATTACACAGAGAGCTGAAATTTTCAGCAAACCTGAGTATGAAACCTGAAAAAAAAAGGATACCTATAGGGACTAGAAGAGGTGCTAAGCTAAGACCCTCCAAGAGGTGTTCAAGGATCACGGTCTCTGTCCATGGCCATGCATGTGATAGTTTGGAAAAGTCCTTAGCTGTGAAGGCTGGCAAATGCATAGCTTTGCTTTACCTGAGTGTCCCAGTCCCTGTTTGGCACATGGTGAGGTGCTGGTGCAGGACACAGATGGCCTTCTCTGGTGGAGGGACTGCTGTTCCAACCCACTCAGTTTGTTGTAATCAAACAGGCCGCCCCTCATTGGTCTGAAAGCTGTGACCCCAAGCATTACGAAATAGAGACATGGGAGAAGACAGTAGGGCGAAATGCTTTCTCTTGTATTGACTATACAGCCATACCCTGCTGTCCCCCAAGGATGTGTTCCATGTGTGATGATTAGCAATATTATGGGAGATGAAGCAGTTTTTCTGTGAGACTGAATTCCTGGCCATTACCCTGTTTTTCTGTCCTTTAGCCTTGATTGATCTTGGTTCATCTGAGGAAGATGTGGATGAAGACAATGATAAGGTAAAGTTCAGAATGGTGCAGTTCCTGGTAAAAGAGGGAGTTCAGTCACACAGATGAGGCAGATGAGATCTTTCAGGATGGTGATCTTGAAAGCCATGCTGAAGAGACCACATGTTCTCTAGCTGACTATCATAGTACAGCTCGCCTCTCTGTCCTCCACACTATACATGCTGTCCCTCTATGTTTAAAACATATGTATTAAGTCCCTCCAAGCACGTGCCCTTTACTTCTTCTGGGAAAAGTTGCTCTGCTATCTGGCAACTTGATTGCTTCATATATGAGAGTGATGACAGCCTGCAGAGCAGGGTGACACAGCTCTGAAACACCAGATAGAGAATCAACGATTAGCAGAGGGTTCCCATTTTGGTTTAAGTGAGTTGCTGTGGCAGTGGCCAAACAAAGGGTGAACAAATGCTTTTTCTGAAACCTGCTTTATTTCCACTCTTCCCACTTTTACATTAATCCGGAATCTGAAGATTTTCCAATTCTGCAGAGCGTGTGCCAATAGGCAGTGCCCTGGGACACTCCAGTGTTGCCATGAGTAGAGGGCTCAAGGTGGCCAGCTCCAACACCTTACAAGCATGAGGCAGTGCTCAAGACAGACCTAGAAAACAGCCCACCCTTGTCTGCCAGTTGTTAGATCCTCTGATGTCTTTTTCCCTCTCCTTTCACAACCACAGGGTCTAAGGTCTTCTACACCTAGCAAAAGGTGCTACACACAAGTACCAGATGACCACGGCTTTGGCCTTGTCTGTACACCTAAGGAACATATATATTGTCTACCTCGGAGACAGCTACATTATGGAGAGCTGATCGCAATCACAAGCAGTTGTTGCCGTAGCAGGGAGGGTAAATTAGAAAAATAGCCTGGAGAAGCTACTTGAACTCTTCATTTGGTAGTCTGTTTGGTCTTGTAACGTGGGCAATGAGTGTGATCTCCTCATCTGAGTTACATTTTCCTCTCTGCCACAGGTTCAATACAGTACTTTGGGCAAATCTGTTTATCTGTGCTGCACTTCATCATCGGTTAAGTGCAGACCATATTTTCCCCTGTCTAACATTGCTGTGGAAACTTATTAACTTTGTATTTGAGCGTACTGATATTTTCATATGCTTATATACAAGCACAGGGTAAGCAAAGAATAGAAGAACCAGCAGTTAACTACAAATTACATCTCATTTTCAGAATTATTTCCTGACATTTTTTAAGTGCCCCTGGAAAATACTAACAAGAGTCCTACTCAAAGCACAGTCCCACTTCTTCACCTCTAGTGCACCTTAATGGCAACCCTGCCACAACAGCAGTTTTATGAGCAGAGCAAAAAGAGCCTGCAGGCTACAACTCACAAACAAAGCAACAGTAGGAGGTTAAAGAAATAAAGAAAAGGAGGTTTACCTTGTTCAGATCAAAGATATCAAACACTCGTTTAATGTAAGTATCTCCCTGTGGATCCAGCCCTCGCAGACCCAAGAGTTTCTTGAATTCATGCAGACTAAGCAGCCCAGATGGGCATTCTCTCATAAATTTGCTGTAGTAATGGTGCATCTCTGGGGCAGGGCCATCATCTGGTAATGATCCATTGGCGCCCATGTTATTACGCAGAAAGTGTCACTGTTTTTTCTATTCACATTTATATCTCTCAGGTTCAGAGTCTTGCTTGTGACCAGAACTCAGGCAAATAGTGCATTTAAATGGCCACGGTAAACGTCTTACAGCTTAAGTTTCTATTTTTATGTGGTGACTATCTGTACTCATGTGAGATTACCTTTAATGCCCAGTTCTAAACCAGATGGGATTTCAGAATGTGGCTAAAGTAGAAGAGAGCCATGCTCAAATTATAGTTCATGAAAATCCAGACTCTCCCACTGACTACAAACATACATGTTAGAAAAAGAAAAATGAGGGGATCCTGAGAGTGATTGGCTTTGAATTATATGCAAACCATTAGCAACACATAAAAGTCTAATCCTGGATTGGCTGTAAGGAATAGCTAGAACTTTTTCTGTAAATAAGGATGGAGAAGGTTGAGAGTGCAAACATGCCTGTTACTACATTCTCTTCGTTGTAGGTGGATTAAGCCTTTCTGAAAACAGAGCGTGCCCTTTCGACTCCTCCTTGAGGCACTTATTATCATAACTATACTGTGTGATATCGTGTATTTGTGTGCAATAGCACCCTATTTCCTCCCTGTCAGCACGGATGCCCAGATAAAACACACAATTTTGGTTACCAGCCTCATGACAGAACCTGAGCGGAAGAGGAATTTTTTACAGTAATTTCTTTAACACGAATCAACTTAGTCTGCTAGGTGAATTAAATCCAAGTTCCCTTGCAGCTGGTCAGTGCTGTAGTCCTGCTTTTTATTTTACTGCTTTCAGGAGCTGAATTCCTTCTTCCTCTGTAAGGTCAGGGAAGGACTTAGGTATCAATAATACTTCTGTACTAATTAGCTTCTGTATAAGGAGATGAGTGGCTCAGGAGCCTTACTATAGCACAGACAAATTTGGAGCTATAAATAGCAGTGTAAAACTGTAGAATATTGGAGATGCAGGAGCAAGACACTCCCACTCATCCTTTTAGTTTGTAATCACGCAGTGGAGTTAAAGAGCACAGTCCTGTGAGGTGCTGAGTGCCTCATAACAAATAGCAACCTCCCTGCAGCCCGACTTAAGCCAGAGAGCAATCAATATCTTATAGGATCAGGTCAATTTTTGAGAAGGACTCCCATACTCTTAACGGGCTGTGCTACAGCTCTCTCCACAAGGACATCGTTAAGTTTAGTATCATATACTTCAAAATGGGGCATACGAGTAAGAAAGCTTGAAGACTCCTCAAGTGCCCATGAACTTTTGAAGATTAAGCAGGAAGGTACAGGCATTGCCATCGGTTTAGCCAAAACTAGTTCAGTAGGCAAAGAACATACAGCAAACTGGGTAGTTGGCATGTTGCCTCTCCGCAGAGACCATCTCTGAGCCCTAGAGCTGCTGTGTGATCCCACTGGTTGTGGGAGGGCAGGCACTCATCTCCTGCGGGCATCTCGTCCGCAGGCAAGCGCCGGCTGGAGTGGTGAGGGTGAGTGAAAAAGAAGCGAGGACAAGAGAGGTGAAAAGAAATAAGCAGACAAATCTCTTGGGTATGCACAGTCTGACAAAAATCCTGAATTTTCATCTTGAGCTGCCATGCCCTGCCCTTAAAGCAATGACCGGTCATTTTGTCAAACACCAGAGAAAGACAAGGCACCAGGAACATGACTTAAGCAGGCTGCAAACTTTACGTGATATGATTAGGTTAAGAACTGTCTATCAGTAACTCACCCAGTGCTAGTCATCCTTCCTCTTTTATCTCTTCTGCTTGGACAATGACAGCTCTCTCGCATCTCTTCACGCGGCCTTGTGCAAACACTGTTCACAGGATCCCACTTAGGCGTAGGGAGATTGGGAGTTGCTTACATCTACTGATCCCTCTCCCCTCCCTCCTCTTTTCTTCCCCAAGAAACCACAGGCTTCCTCTGCTACTCGCTTCCAAATAGCAGGTCTTGGGGAGCTGCACCCCTGGTGACTGAGGCACATGAGAGAGACTGCTGCACTGACTTAAAGATGGGGCCTTAGAAGTCAGATTTTTGTCAGATTTTGTACAATCTGGTAAAAAAATTATGAGAATGTTAAATCCAAGTTGGAATGATTTTAAAAGAATAACTGTTTTCAGGATCCCTTTAGTTTAATAACAATAACTAAAATACCTGGGGAAAAAGTGATCTGATTTATTGTTCAGTCTCACAGCATCCCTCACCCCTAGTAGGGGACCGGAACAGTATATAATAGCTGATATTACACCTGACAAAAAAAAGAAGGTGAGTTTTATGGGGCACAAAAAGGCTAAATTTATAATCTGCTGCATAGTTTGACAGCACTTAATAAACTCACAGACAAAACATGTGCTGAGATAGTAGAAATTCTACAGAAATTACCTGTTCCGGAAGCCAAGGGCAATGAAGCATTTCTGCTTTTATAAGTAAAAATAGAAAAATTCATAGCAATGTAGAGCTGAACTGAAGAAATTAATATAGCAAAGCCATTTCAAAGAACACTGAGACAATGGATATGGAGACTAGTTTGTATATAGGAAGCCCAGTGAAGCAATTCCAAATGAGCTATCTGTAGCAAACTGAACTGATGCTAAAAGATGAAGATAAAATTACAGTATCTATTGAGATCTGTATTAGAGATGCCAAGAAGTTTTCTGGGGTCTGTACAATATTCTGAGAATTAAGAAAAAAAGATACAAACAGGCAACAGTGGGAGTAGGTACTTGCACTGAAAATGACAGTCCTGTAATAAAGAAGATTGCTAGTTCAAGGACAGATGGTTGCTAAACTGCAAGAACATGGGGCACACAAAAAATGCACCCTGCAGGTAAAGTAAAACTGTCTCTGTAGG